CCCCAGTGCCCTCACTCACCATCGATGATGAGCTGCAGCTCATTGGGCTGTCCCCTCAGGTACCCCCCCGGCGATCCCTGGGAAGACAGATCCTGTCACGGCCCCAGCGGCACAGCTGCCCCCCCCAGCGGCGCTGCCAGCCCGGCCACACGCCCTCCTGCCCTGGCAGGGTTGAGCCCGGGGCCTTCCTGCCTTGCGGTGCCCCAGGGCTGGGCTGGCACGGGGCAGCAGCAGCCGCCGGGGCACTCCACAGCACATCCCTGGGCCGGATGCTGCTGCCGCTGCAGCAGCCGGGGCTGGGCCCGAGCTGCAGCGGGGTGGGGAGGGACCGCGGCCTTGTGGCTCACCCATGAACTTGACGGCTGCCTCTCGCAGGGGCTGCTGTGGGCTCCGCAGGTACGGCAGGGCCTGGTGCATGTACTTGGCCACTCGTCTCTGGTCCTTTTTCAGCTGGAGAGAGCGGCAGGGCATGGAGGGAAGGGTTGGCTGGGGCTCTGTCCCTTGGCCGGGTGCTGCCTGCGCCCAGCACTGGCCTCCCCTGCCCGCACAGCCCTGAGGCCCGGGCAGCAGCCGCTGGGGCCGGGCTTTGGAGGGAGCAGAGGGCTGGCTGCTCCCTGGGAGCGGCGGGGCTGCCCTGCCCCAGAGCCCAGCTGGGCCGGGGCTCCAGCGGCACCCTGGCTCGGGGGCAGAGGAGCCCGCAGAGGAGCCTGCACGCCCCAGGGAAGGCAGCAGCGTGTGGGGCACAGGCTGCTGTCCCACAGGCGGGTGCAGCAGTGGGCAGGGGCACAGTGCCAGCCCCACACTCTGGGCATGGGGGACTGGGGCTTTGGGGCCGTCCTTACCAGGCACTCGCCAAAGCTCCATGGCTCCTCTGTGTTCACCAGGTGCCCAAGATCCCTCCTCTTCAGGAACCTGGTCACAGCCAGCAGTGCTCCCTGAGAGGCCTGCAGAGCAACAGAGACCAGGACATGGCAGCGCAGCCCAGGGCACGGGACCCCTGTCCCTGGACCAAGGCCAGGAGGAGGCTGGAGCCCGGGGGGTGCCAGGCCAGGAGGCGGCCCAGCCCCCTCCCACGGGACACCAGAGCCCACGAGTCCTCACCCTTTTCACGAGCACCTTCTCGTCGTGCCGGTGGAAGTAGAGCGGGAGCAGGCTCAGGCACACGAGTGGCTTCAGGGGCCTCTTTCCCTCTCTCTCGATCACTTTGATCACACGAGAGAAGAGGACCATGGAGCCCTGCCGCACACTGCTGTCGTCCTGGTGGAAAGAAAGAGGAAAAGAGCTCAGCAGCAGCTTCTCCAGGCCCCACTGGGCACAGGCCTGAAAATCCCCAGGGACCAAAGTTTCCCAGCAGTACCCAGAGCCCGTGGCGGGGGGGGGCACAGAGCCTTACGTGGTCAAAGAGTGGCCGGAGCGCCTCAGCCAACTGCAGGCCGGTGGGGGTGGATATTAGGGGGTCTTTGCTGCGGACTCTCTCGTGGCGCCGTGTCCAGAGACTGGTCCAGAGCACATGGTCGAGCACAGAGAGGGTCATCCAAACCACATCTCTGTCTGCATCCCCCAGGAGCTGCACGAGCCTTTCACTCAGGCTCCAGATGCTCTCGGCCTGTGAGGAACACAATGCTGTGCCGTGAAGCCACGAACGGCTGCACCACCAATCCCGCTCCGACGGGGCAGCCCCACGTGCTGCCGCGGGGCCCGGAGGCCAAAGGCCTGTCCCGAGGGACTCGGGCAGCTGAACGGGGAAGCAGCAGAGTTGGGAGCAGCTGCCACAGCTCCCGAAGCCCAGCCAAGCCCAAGCGACTGCCCCAGGATTCCAGCGCGGCTTCAGCCAACTGCCCCTTCTCACCATCACGGGATCCTGGCTGAGAGCCACGACGACTCTGAGCGCCAGTTGACGCCGCTTTTTGTTGGTGCTCCCCAAGTTCCTTGAGAGCGTCTCCAGGACCCTGTCACCGCATTCTTTGGTGTCCAGGCAGTCCAGGACCTGAAAGGCACGGAGCAGTGACGGGGTGCCCAGCCGGCAGGAGCCCGGACCTGCACAGGGCTGGGCCCAGGCAGCAGCCCAGGGCGCAGCACCGTCCCGGCAGCTGCGGCTGGCAGAGGGCAGAGAGGTGGAGGCAGCTGGGCGAGGCTGCGCTCGCCAGCAGGCTCACCTCCACAAGGAATGCCATGGCAGGCAGGTCCCAGCACAGCTCCTCCCTGCTCAGCAGCTCCAGCAGGTGGAGTGTGATGCGGGAACACAAGGGCCTGGAGACATGGCGCTTCTCCCTGGCAAGGGGAAAAAGATATCATGGACCTGAGCCAGGCGGGCAAACCTCTCCCGGGAGGGACTGACAGAGGCCTGGTCTTTCCCCACCAGCCCAGGAGGGGACGAGGGCACTCTGGGAGGCGGCTCCTCCTGTGCACCCGCCTCTCCCAGCCTTCTCCACTCTGCTCGGCCGTCCCTCGGTGACAAGACCCTCTGGCCCACGACCACGGGCACTGTGGGAGGTGCCCCGTGCACAGGCAGAAAGGACAGGGGCAGCGGGGACAAGGGGGTCTCACCTGGCCAGCAGGGCCACTGCGTAGCGGCGGCTGTGAGCGTTGAGGAGCCTGGCCCAGCCACCATTGTCTTCCACTGAATTCACCCCATCCTCCCAGTGGAGACAGCAGAGCAGGGCCTTCATGGTCAGCACTGCAAACCTGTGTGCAGAGCAAAGCCCAGGTCATGCTGGGAGCCCTGGCCCCAGCCCTGAGGGCATGGGAGGGAGGGGAGGACTGGCACGGAGCACCTGTTGGGGTCAGTGGGAAGGTCGTGCTGCTCCTGGCATCCCCTCCAGAACGTGTTGACCTCCTCTGACGTCTGCTCTGTGCTGTCGAAGACTTGGAAGAGCAGATCGACGAGGAGATGAGGGGAATAGTCCATCAAAGGCCCTGGGCACTGGGGCTCCTGGACAATCATCCACAGGGCCAGAGTTGCCTGCAAAAGACGAACCACCCGGACACAGCAGTCAGTGCCAAGACATCCATGTGGCAGGGCCCGAGCGTGGGAGGGGAAGGCCAGGGGAGACTCGGGGGGAGCGCCCGGCCTGGTGCCCCTGAACCTGCTGCTAGCCCACATTTGCAGCCCAGTGCCTGCACGGAGATGGGCAGGGAGACGCCGTGCTGGGGGAGGAGGGAGAGCTGCCGGAGAGGCAAGCTGGGGGCAAGCAAAGGTTCCAGAAACTCACAGCCAGGGCAAAGACGTCTGTGTTGTCCCCATCGGAGGTGCGTGTGTAGTACCACGGCCAGTCCTCCATCACGCAGAGCAGTGTTGGCAGCACCTTCCGCAGAGTGGTTCCCGATGAGGCTATGGTCCTCCACATGGTTGCAGCAGCTCTGTGGAGTCAGAGCTCTGCGTCAGGGGGATCTGGACCACAGTGCCCTGACGTGGGCAGCTGCAGGGGCCGAGTGACAGAGCCACAGTGCTTTCAGGGGCAGGGGGATGATGGTGAGCCCGGAGCCCTCAAGGCAGCTGGGGCCCGTACCTGTCACATGAGGGAGCACAGTGCAGGAGGGTGATGGTGACATCCACGGGGTGTGCCTCGGTCAGTGCCAGAAGGGTCTTATCCAGCACGTGCCCAGCAGACACATTGGAGGTCAGCCACGAGTGGATGGACCTCACCAGAGGTGGCACCTGGAGGGGACACAGGGGAGAGTTGGAGAGCTGCCAGAGGGAGCAATTTCCCGGCTTCCGCCGAGAAGTGCTTCCCCTCCCACTACACTGTGCCGGCCTGAAAGGCTGAGGGGGCCCAGCGGAACAAGCTTGAGGGCCCACACAATCCCTGCCCACAGGCTGCTTACTTGAGCAGAGACAACTCTCTCCTGAGGAACATGCAGACTGGGAGCATCGGGCAGGCGCTGAACGGGTGTGCTGTCCGCGTCTGCGATGCCCTCAGTCCCTGGGGCGTCAGCCTTGGCCTTGAGCTCGGTGGGGTTGGGCTCAGGCTGTGCCACGACATTGGTTGTTGAGGTCCCGGCCTTTCTACGCCGAACGGGAGCAGATTTCCGCACCCTCTGCGGGAGAACAAAGGGCAGGGAAGAGAGGGATGTGCCATGGAGAGCTCCGCCAGCGGTGCCAGGCTGAGCAGTGAGAGCAGGCCCAGCCCAGGGGGGGATGGCTGCAAGTACCTGATGAGCTCTGCGGAAGCGGCCCCGGGCGCGGCCCTGCTCTTGTGTCCGGTGCCGGCCTGGATCTGGCAAAGAGCGAGCGCGGTCAGAGCTGAGGGGCTGGGGGACAGGCCGGAGAACACAGCCCAGCCCTGCCCTCCAGAGGCAGGGCCGGCCCCGGGATGCCCAGTGCCTGGAGCTGCCGGGGGATCAGCCCCGGGCCCTCTTCCCCCATTCCTTTCCCTGGCCATGTCCACAGGAGATGGGATGGGATGGGATGGGATGGGATGGGAAGAGGCCCATCTGGCGGCAGCCACCAGCCCTGTGGCCCAGCTCTGCCACTCACCCTCCTGCAAGGGCTGGAACTGCTCCGCCTCCTCAGGGTGTTGTGCTGGGGCAGGCCTAGGGCTTTTCTCCTTCTCCTCCTTCTTCACCCAGGCCAGCTTGCAAACCCAGGGGGGTCTCTGCTCCATGCCTCTGCCTGGCTCCATGGCTACCTGCGGGAGACATGGCATGGAAATGTGTGGGGGACCAAATCCTGCACAAGTGCCTTGAAGGCATTTGCAGTAGAGGAGTGCTGGGAACGCTGCAGGTCATCAAGTCCCACAGTCTGGCCAGGAGAGGGCCTCAAAGGCTTAGGGGGCCCAGCAGACCTGACTTGAGGGGCCAGACTGTCCCTGCCCACAGGCTGCTTACTTCCAGAGAGATCACTTCCTCTTCAAGAACCTCCAGACTGGGATCATCGGGCAGGTGCTGAACGGGTGTTCTGTCAGCGTCTGCGATGCCCTCAGTCATTGCACCGTCAGCCTGCGGGGTGAGCTCAGGCGGCGCGGCGTTGGAGGTTGCCGTGTCGTCGGTCACCGCGGTGTCACGGTTTGCTGGGCCATCGGTCGACGCGGTGCCGACATCGGGGTCAACCTGGAGCTCGCTCGGCGTGGGGTCAGGCTGCGCCATGTCCTCAATTGGTGTGACCCTGTACTTTCTTCGCCGAACGGGAACGAATTTCAGAAAGGCCTGCAGGAGAAGGAAGAGCAGGGAAGAGAGGGATGTGCCATGGAGAGCTCCGCCAGCAGTGCCAGGCTAAACAGTGAGAGCAGGCCCAGCCCAGGTGGCCATGGCTGCAAGTACCTGTGCTGCCCTGCGGAAGCGGCCCCGGGCACGGTCCTGCTCTTGTGTCTGCTGCCGGCCTGGATCTGGCAAAGAGCGAGCGCGGTCAGAGCTGAGGGGCTGCGGGACAGGCCGGAGAACACAAGCCCAGTCCTGCGCTCCACAGGCAGGGCCGGTCCCAGGATGCCCAGCGCCTGGAGCTGCCGGGAGACCAGTCCCAGCCCCTCTTCCCCCCTGCCTTTCCCTGACCATGTCCACAGGGGATGGGATGGGAAGAGGCCCATCTGGCGGCAGCCACCAGCCCTGCGGCCCAGCTCTGCCACTCACCCTCCTGCAGGGGCTGGAACTGCTCCGCCTCTTCAGGCTGCTGTGTTGGGTCGGTCGCAGGGCTAACCCTCTTCTCGCGGAAGAGCCTGTGCAGGCTCAGGCGTCTTCCCGCCATCCCACAGTCTGGCCTTGAGGGCACCTGCAAGAGGGAGACACCTTGGAAGATCTCTGCGTCCCCAAGTCCTGCAGGCTGCCCTGGAGGCCACCTGCCACAGGGATTGGAGACTCCTCGGAAAATTTCCGGGTCACCAGTCCTGCGGTCTGGCCTCAAGGGCAACTGAAAGGGAGAAAAGCCTGGGAAAGGGTAGGGGTTCTCAAGTCCTGCGGTGTGGCCTCAAGGGCACTGGCCGCAGGGATTGGAGACACCTCGCCAAAGCTCCGTGTCACCAAGTCCCGCGGTCTGGCCTCAAGGACGCTCGCACCACAGAAAAGCCTCCAAAACGCTCCGGGTCAGGAAGGAAGGAGTTGGCTGCACGGGGGCTCCGCACAGCACCGCTCTATCCCATCTCTCCCGTCGCACGCTCCGAGGAGCACTGAGGCGTGGCCACGTCACCACCGGTACTATGTCATGACGTGTCACAAAGGGCCCTGTGACACCCTGCCCCGTTGCACGCCATCGGCGATGCCCGCCGTGTCACAAAGGGCCCTGTGACACACTGCTGCGTGCCCTGGGGCCTCCCCCCGCCCGGCCAACCTGCCCCAGGTCGGAAGGAGCCCGTTCTCCAAAGTATCTAAGACAGCTGGACATGAACTTTAGGCCCAGCTCAAAAACTAAGCAAAGCCTCCCCTGCTGTGCCTGCCCACAGCAGCAGAAGGAGCCCCCTCGGCTGCCGACGCGGGCGCAGCGGGAAGGGCACGGGGCCTCCACAGGAGCTGGCACGGGCTCCTTGGCAGAAGTCCCGGCTGGTGGCCCTCCCAAACACGGGGCTGTGACACACCGAAGGAATATGGGGGGCAAGGGCACCAATGCCGCTCTGACCCCATTGGCCGGGGCTGCAGCAAAATCAGCAGCTCTGGCAAGTCCTCGCCCGAGGAGACCTGCCAGCGCCCCGAGTCCTGGCAGGGGTGGTGCCCGCCTCCTGTCCCAAAGAGGTGTGCCCCTGGGGGCCTTCTCTGCCAGAGGGCGGCCAAAGCCAACGGGCGCTGATGTCTGCGCTCTTGCAGGGGGGCCGTTGGGAGTGGTAGCCGGAGCAATTGGTGGCAGTGCTCGGCATCCGTCAGAAGGCAGAAGCAGTTTCTCCTCGCGGGAATGATTTGTGCACGGAAGTGATGACCTGCAGCACAAAACCACCGTCAGTTGCTGAGTTTCGCAGGAAGATTAGATTGCTCAGAGATCCTGTCAAGTTTCCTTGCATTCTGCCAAATAAAAGCTGCCCAGTGCTCTGGATATCAGCTGGCAGTCGCAGTCGGACACACAGCA